CATTTGAGTACCTTTGTTGAGCTTGAACTTGAATTTGAAGAAAGTATTGTGAACTTGAGTATCCTTTATAGCGGTGAGTCACAATTTGAATCTTTGAGTGCACAATTGAGCATTGTTTGTGTAGTTCGAACCTTTGTGTGCATTCATGTTGAGTCTTATGCAGCACTATTTGAGACATCCTTATTGAACTATTGATTATGAGTTTTACTTGAGGACAAACAAAAGTTTAAGTTAGGGGTGTTGATGAGTCCAAGATTTGGGCTCATTTAGGGCTTTGTTTTGATAGTTTTAGTGTCCTCAAATGCCTAATTTATGCTATAAACTGATGTTAAAGAATTGATTTTTAGGTATATGAGCTAAGGAGAAGGCAAGGACGCTACTAGGTAAAAAGGAGCAAAACAAGCTGAAGCAGTGGAGAAAAGGAGATCCTGGAGATCGCGAAGACCACTTGGCGAACCGCCGAGTGGCTCTTCATCTCGCTTAATGTTCCAGTGTGCCAGGGAAAAGAAACCAAATCAGCGACAGAAATGAACATTCGGTGAATCGCCAATCGAGTCCGCGTAACACAAGGGATCGCCCAAAGTTTCAGAATTTGTGATGTTGAGAACCAATGCAAAATGGCGATGAAAGTGACCAAACGGAGGATCGCTGAACCACTAGGTGAAGCACGACTTATCCCGCCGAGTAGACTATTGAGCCAAAAAGCTGAAAACTATAAATGGATTTTTAAAAGGAATTTTTAGGAGTTCACACCGAGTGCTGACCCAGATATTACAGTTCCCATTCTAGAGTTAGAGTTTTCTCTAAGTTTTTGAGTGCTTATTGTAGAATTCTTGAGGATTTCGACTTGGGTTTTTGAACTTAATGATTTTGGAACATTGTAAAGGTTTGGAGACTATTACCCAGTTGATGGCTAATCGAGTTGGTAATTTTTTTTCCTTTTTATGATGTTTGGCTAAAACCCCAATTCTTGGGGTGTGATCATGTGATTATGGGTTAAATTAGCTTATGAGTATTGTTAATTACTGATTTAAATGCTTGATTGAAGTGGGTTTTAATTGATAGTTGTGTTTTAATCTAAGAATTGTAGTTGCAAATGCAGTTCTAATTGTGTGTTCTTGGCTTGCTCGAGAGAGAGGTTTTGGAACCAAAGCTTTTGATTAATGGTTTGCAGGTATTAGGTTGATATGGGTTCAGCTTGAGAGAGTGAATCCTAAACCCAATGCTGCCCATCTAGCTCGAGAGAGTAGATGAATTAAGGTGTGGGTTGTTCTTATTTGCTATGTTTGTTGATATTCGAAAGAAATCACTTGATTCGAGATAGTTGTTCGAGAGAAAGCTATTTCCCTCATAGTCTAGCCTACCCAATGATATTTAGCTATTTATTAGTAGTTTCAATTACCCATATAACCAAATTTGCCTATAATCGATCACATCCCGAGAATTCCTCTCTATATTGTTATTCCCGTAGCGTTTGGTTGTGTTGTAGCTGATAATTGCAAATCAAAACCCCTCATCTGACATTTGTGTCACCCCCTTTAGACTTGTTGATATGTCTTTTTCGATAATTTCTATTCCTATAACTAATTAGACCACGTTTGTACTCCATACTTGAATTTGAACACGTACCTCTCCCTGTGGGTTCAACCCCAACTGTTTGTTGGGTTTTATACTGACTAACGACCGTTTGCACCTATAATTGGATGAGGTGTGTTTGAAATGTTAATCAATCAGTGATCTTCGATGAGATTAAGGTAGGCTTATATAGGTGAGGATCCTTTGCTCTTCTTTAGGAAAACCCAAGGGATTTTCATTCAATCAAGGATTTGTAGGTGTAATACCCTGGATTTGAAAAAAGGTGAATTACCCATTTTTAGCAGTTGTAGGTGTCAACCCACGTTGGCCACCCACGGCCCGTGGATGGGACCATGGACCGTAGGTGTGGTCCGTGGTTGATCACCCTAGCACTGCCTAGAAGGGATCAGAACCACGGCCGGACCAACGGACCATTGGTGGAACCACGGTCCGTCGGCATTGGCCGTGGGTCATGGCTGGGAGTTAAGTTTCAGGGGTAGTTGGGTCTTTTCCTAATTAATTTACTCTTATACTACGTCGTTTTACCCTTCACTAAGAATCATATATTAAGTATTTTAACCCCTAAATTTCTCAATAGAAATCATTCTATCAATTCACCAAAAAGAAGAACTTTCTCAAATAATTATCTCTCTAGAAAGCTTTAAGAAGAAGGATTCAACCTAGGGTTTCCATTCAAGTCTCAATTCCTCCATTGAAGATTAGCAATTGGATTCAAGGTATGATAGTTTTCATCCATGAATTCATTCCATTCATGGAGATCCCAAATTTTTCTATTTCAAAGTTAGAAATCCCCAATTGAGTTAGGGTTTTCTTCAATTGTCATGGTTTCTTTTCATTATTAATTTAAATGATTGAATTATGATCTATTATACATAAATTGATGAAATACTATGATTTTATGATGATTTCCCCATGAACCCATGTAATCCCCATGTTTTTCAAGTTATGATCATATGATGTGGGATTTTAATTTTGAAGGAAGAGTTTTATGAAATTAAGCATGTATTAATATAATTGCATGAATTTATGATGAAATCTATATCTAACCCATGTTTCTACAAGTTGATGATTGAAAGTGGATTTTGAACCTTGAAAGGTAATTTATGGAATTATGCATGTTCTTATGAAATCTATGCAAATGTTTTAAGGATGCTTTGAGAGTAAAGTATCAATGATGATGATTATGATGTGTTATTGAAAGGATTTTCTCATATACACATAAAAGCATGATCTGAAAGGTTTTCTCACATGATAAGGATTCTAAGATTGAAAGGTTTTCTCACCTAATTGAATCCAAGATTAAGAGCTATCCTAATAAAACTTAGCTTGGATTGGTTATTGAAAGATACCTTTCCATGGATTATGACTTATCCTGGATTGGCTAGATGACGTGTCCTCCCATGGATAATAAGAACAAGTAAGAAATTACTATTCCATGGAATTTATGCTTAGCACCGAGAAGATATTGAGATGGAAGCTCTCCCGTTAGTAGAGGCCGGATTTCTAGTAGAAATCTCTTATCCCTTACCTATGTGCCCCCATAGGTTGATTGTCTAGATAGAGATTATCTAGTGGATCCACCTAAACTAGAAGTTTATGATCCTTAACTTGGCAAGAGGACAACCCTTTTCGATGTGGTAGAACCGGGGGATCATGTTATAGCTCACATGGTTTTATGTTGGTTAAGGCTAATCCCCCACATTATTAATGAACTAAGGTTACTTCAAGAAGTATCGCATATGTGTTCAAAGGCTTTAAATGATGTTAGCTTGCATTGACCAGGGTTTTATGACTTATGTTTTCTAATCTCTTATATAATGTTTTAGCTTGGTCAATTGCATGTCATGAAATGAAATATCCCTTTTTAGCATGATCTAAATGTTTTATGCATAGCTATCTTGGTACATTGTTTTGTATTAATGCATACTCTTGCCTACATTTCCCCAAATGTAGGGTCCGATAGTCAGGTTTCTTAGTTTTATGGCTAATGGTTGATTTCGAGATTCTCGAGCTTTGGTGAGTCCTTATGCTTCGAGGATGGATTTTCATTGTTCTAGCTTCCTCATTATATTTCAGTTTGGATATGATGTATGGGCTAGGCCCAATTTCATTCTATTGTACTAGATGGTTATATTGGAACAAGTGTTTTTGACTTTCGCTTTTCTTTTATAAAACTATTCGACTCGAAATGTTGTTTTACTCTTATTTTTCTATTTCTTATGTTATAAATGCTAAGTAGCTTGTATGGGGTCTCTCGGGGTCCTATATGCCATGTTACATCTAGGGGGTATCCCTGGGTCGTGTCAGTAGGAATTCCTTGATTGAGGCTGATTTTAATAGGATTGTAATCATGTCCATATCAGATATGTTCATAATGTCATTACTTCTTTTGTGAGGAGTCTTCATTCCTAGATTCCTTAGGTCTTTGCGGCTGCCTTCCTTGATGTTTGGAGATCCAATTTTATCCTTGTCAATATTCATTGATTTCTGGAGATTTGACAATCAGAGGGAATCTGGTGATCTTGCAAAATCTGATTTTATCCTTGTCAATATTTCTTGATCTCTAGAGATGCATCAATCAGTGGGAATTTGATTGGAGTGTAATTTGAATATCCAATCCTTGCCATCTATTATCATTTGATTTGATCCTGATTGTAGTGTTGCATTGGTATTCGTCTATTCCTACATTTGAAGGTGAACTTATTGTTATTAATCAAAATCCGAAGGCTAACAACTTCCTGGTGTACCCAGGTCCTTTTTTGTACATCTGTTGTGCCCTACCTCAGATTTTTCGAACAAATTTCTAGACTTTTGAGGATTCCAAATCTAGTTAGGAGTAGGGATTAGTTCCATAAACTCTATAAATAGGAACCTAAGGTAATTTTGTAAGGTTATTTCTTCTTTTTCACGTATAAGAGTAAGCTAAGGGATAAATAACTCATCTTTGGTTTCAATCTTCTACTTTTTTTTAGTCTTGAATTGCATTAAAACAATCTTATTTGTGATTTTGATTATTATGAGTGGCTAAATTATTTTTTTCCGGGGTTGTATCCATGGGTGATCGTTGAACATTGATTTCTATGGATTAATTTGGTTATCACATAAATTACTCTTGAATTCTTGTTTAGTATTTCTTGATTGACCACCATTGAGATAAATATATTGTCTATGCTTGAACTCGAGACACGAATATGTAGATAGAATAGAGAATACAATGTGTGCAGTCTTTCTTGCCTACCACTTGTTTAGATTCATAATTAGGATTGACAACCGAACAAACACCGTGATTGGTTACGAAACAGGATGAAATATAAGTGCTCACCAGTTGAGTCTGTTTATTCCTGGTCAATGATGTAGTTAGACCGTCAACCAGTGTAGGCGGTTAGAGGTCGAGAGATCATGATCATAACATCAACCTATAAATCAGTAATTTAATAACCGTAATTAATTCATGAGAAAGATGTGATACATGAAGTCTTAAGTATGCTACAGCCCTTGAATTTTTCCTTTATTATTCAAAACATCGAAATTGAAGTTGTCATTGTTAGTTACTTTCAAAGTTTTAATTATTTGCAAACATAGTATAGAAAAAACAAGTTTCTTGAGAACACTTTCTTTGATTTGTAGAATTAGTTGAATAGATATAAATTGATCTTAAGTCCCTTGGGTTTGACAATACGGTTCTGAAAGAGCCATTCTATTATTATTGCGACCACGTATACTTGTGTGGTTATTTAGAAGAAAATACAAACCTACTTTTTGGTGCAACTTTAGTACCCTTCCATTCCCAAACTACTTCTCTAGGGAAATAAAATCTAACAACCTTTCTCCATCAATATTAGTATGATCCATTGATTAGGGGAACACGATTGCTCTCTGGCATATATCAGAGATGCGATATTGCAACACGTGAACCTGCTAACCCTGGAGATTATCCTAAGGACCCCAAGTGAAAAATGCGATAAGGAGTTGGTGTTTATGATAGGAAAAATATAATACGTAGTAGCTTGTCGACAAACTTCAAGATGAAAAGGTAATTGGGGTAAAGTGGGTATTTCAAACCAAGATAAATGATGATTGTTTAATCAACAAGCATAAAGCAAAGCTGGTAGTTAA